TGTGGGGCTCCACATGCTACTGTATTGAGTGATAACAGCGCCTGGAGGGGTTTGCTGCCTGTCACTAGCAAAGAATTGTGAGGGATAGCCCTGGCTGGAGAGTTAAGGGAGCACAGTAGTACCCTAGTTCCAGGTTGTACCCTGGGGATCCCATCACACTGTTCTGGAGTATAGGTAATTAGTCTGGTTCTTGCTACCCTGACTTGGTCTCCCCGTTGCTGGTCTCTGCCAGGCTGACACCCTTCAATGACCCAGTAACCACCAACAGAGTTCAAAGTTTCCCTTTGGGTAGAAATGGGAAGCTTAATGGGGACCTCCCAGGCCGTGATGCTTCTCTCCCCTTTCCAGTCTCCTCTCCACTGCAACAACAACCAAAGCCCAAAATAAAAACAAACCATTTGTCTCTGAGTTCTGGCTTATGATTGATTCTGGTAGGAGCTTCCAGCTTGTTCTGTCACTTCCCTGTAAGTGAAGCTATCTGGGAAACTGAGTCCTGAGCCTCTGTAGCCATTGCTGCTGTACTCCAGGGGCAAGTCCCTTAGTGGCTTAGGGTAATATGTCAGGAACAACCAACTCCAGAGAGGGTTACAAAAACATGTACATAATTTGTTTGATAATTAAATTAGATGTGGATTGTGGAAATCTTTAGTGAGGAGGGCCATCAACAACAGCAAAAAATACAGAAAACCTTCATGACAACCTCTTGTTGGAAAACGAGGTAAGAAAATTGACTTAAGTTTCCATTCAAACATTCTGACCAACACAGTACCCCTGAAACAGCAACTTTATAATCCTTTTCAATGAAAAATATTTGACTAGTTCTTGCATTGTAAATATACTAAAATATATATATATATTTTTGGTGTTTTTGTTTTAATTTGTAAGTCACTTTGCAAAATAAAAGTTATAAAAGGAGAGTTAGAGATAGAGAAAAAATGCCTCTGAGGATATTTTCAAAAATAGAATAAAGAAGATTCCACTTAGAGAAAACATAGCACTGTATACGTTAGGTTTAAGTAGCTGCAATAATTATGCACACAGACACACATGCTATAGGCAGCCCTTTCTAAATGTCATTAAGGTTGTCCAACATTTCCCACCATACGATCCTGTTTTCTGTTGTTTATAACTTTGTCAAACATAAAGCGTTCACGCTGAAGTTTTCCAAGCCAGGTATGTGCCCCAGGCTGAATATTTCGGGAGAATTTCAAACAAAGTGGTTCAGATTTTTCCGAGCACAATGACTGAGAAAATCATATTATTTTTCCCATGTTAAAAACGTCTGGCAACCATTTTAAAAAAATGCTTTAGAGCTCCTTGTTTCGGAGTATGTTTTTAAATTTGGCAGTGGGGTCTCCTTTCTGTCATGGATGTGCTTGTTGCTGTAACCATGAAAATCTGTCCAAATTTGGCCAAGTTATAAGCATTTGAGAAATCACAGTTTGCATATGCTCAGTAGAGACTGGTTGGAGCTTATCAGCTAAAATCTCAGAAGATTCCACCCTCTCTGAACATGCTTCAGCCTCTCATAACATAAAGTGGTGACCAAACTATGCATGTGCTATTCCCACACAGTAATTGAGCATGTTCCATGCCCTCACAGCTCCTATGTTTGACCAGACTGCACATTCGCTGTCCTCACAGAGTGACTGATCATGCTTTTTCCAGCCCAGGGCTATGACGGCTCAGAGTAGCCATATCTGTGAAAGCTGCTCCCAGCTGCTCAGGGCCAGTGTCGGGCCAGGCATTAGAACTGATAGCAGGAACGTGTTTCTCCTGTGCTCTCAATGATCCACCTGCTACCACACTGGATGGAGGAGGAAACTGACTCAAATGCACCTGGGACAAAAACTGGACCGGGGAAAAGGAAAGGAGTAGACTGGAACAAGGAGTCTGGTGAGACTGGGACTGGAGGTAGGGGTGGGGGAGTGAAACTGTGGGATTTGGCGGGGTGGAGACTAACAGCTGGAGGGAAGAGAGGGTGAAACCAGTTGGGCAAGGAGACAGGGACTGGGAGACAGTGAGTAAAACAAGACTGGGAGCCAGTTGGCTGTTGTTGGTGGGGAACTCTGAGATTGGATGAGAGCTGGAGGGAGCACGAGAGACTGGAACCAGGAATCAGTGGGAGAGGGAAAGGGAAAGGAGGAGGAGCAACATATTTGACACAGAGAAGAGGTGTGGGTTAATTGGGATTGAGTGGGACAAGGATCCAGGAAGGTGTTGAGGGGGAAGTTGAGATCAGATGAGGAGCTCAAGGACAGAGACTGGGACTGTGAGCCACTGAGATGGAAGATGAGAGACAGATTGGATGAGGAGCCAGATGGAGGAACTGGTACTGGCTGGACAAGGAGACTAGGGACAAGGTGTACAGATGGGAGGGGGAAATTGGGACTAAGTGTGGGGAGGGGTAGAGACTTGGACTCTGACAGCGAGCTGAAAGGGGGAGATTAGGACTGACCAAGCAAGGAGACTGGGTCTGGTTTGAGAAGCCTGAGGAGTGAAGACTAGGACTAGGTGGACAATGAGAATGGGCCTGGTATAAGGATCCTGGGGTAGAAGACAGTCAGGACTAGGAAAGGGACAAGTTAGAGGGGATGGGGCAGAAGGGGTCGAGCTTAGGGGAAATGATCAGAAGAATCTGTGAACACTGGAGCACATTCCCCTCCAAAGCTTGGAATGGAAGCCAAGATTCTTGAGTCTCATCATTCCTCCATTGTCAGTGAAACCTACAGGCACAGTATGAGTCTCACTCCCCACTTGTGCTAGTTCATATAAAGGATGACCGCATACTATTGCTATTAGTTGCTCAGTTAGCTCAAGTGGCAGAGGTAAAGTTTCCAACCCTGCTGATGTGGGTGTCAATATGATGCCACACAATGCAATTTCTATTTTTTCAATATGATTTTTTAAAAACCTAGGAAATTACATAGGAAAACTATGTTAAAAACACAATTAAGGTTGCAAAGTCAAGCACTCAAAAGTTAGGAAATGCTAGATTTAAAGTTGTCTGTATTACCTTGATTCATCCCCTTTGTGTTTATGCCTTGTGATAGTCTTTAGTAACATGATCACATATGATTTTTTTCCACAGGACTCCTGCCTTATTCAGTGTATAGAATTGTCTTGCTGCAAGGATGAATCAGGGTTATGTAATAAAGGAGGTTGTCGCTTGTAGGGCCTCTCCTCATTTGTTGCAGAAATTGAAGGGTGTGTAGTGAATAAAGCAGGGATTAAGAGAAGAGAAATGATGGTTTCATGGCCAAAGCAGTTGGATACTGCCCTGGAGAACTGGATTTTGCCCCTGCCTCTGCCACTCCTGTGTGATGTTAAACAAGTCATTTAACCCAAGCTTTTCAGAGGTGGTCACTACCTATGTGCTCCTCATTTTCTGGATGCCTGACTTGAGATCCTGAGGTCTGACTTTTGCAGAAGTGCTGTGTGCTCACAAATGCAACTGCAATAATTGAGAGCTGTGCTTCAAAGTGCTATATAATGCTAAGTACTCTGAAAAGTCGAGTCTTAGGTGTCTCAAATTGCACACTCAAAATTAATGGATATATTTACCTTAATCTCTCTGTGCCTCAGCTCCCATCTGTAAAATGGGGGTACCACCCTATCACTTTACAGGGGTGTTGTGAAGATAAATTAATTGTGGAACACTCAGATACTATACTGAAAAACACCATTAAAAGCCCATGAGGAAATTAATAATTTGATCTTCATAACAGAGTTTGAATAGTGTACAGTAGATAAGGCCCAGGACAACACACTGAACAGTGATGAAAAAACAAAATATTCCATAACTGCTCATTAAGTGAACACAGTCTGTCCTGTGTACTGAATGAAGCAAAGGGTCCTGTGGGAAAAACAGTATGTGATCACATAATTAAAAACTGTATTATAATGCGTATGCACAAGAGGACAGAATTAAGGTTGCACAGGGAAATGTCTCCTCTCCAAACTTTTGCAGTCCTTTTGAAGTCACCCACAGCATGGCTGCAGGACTCATGCATTGTTACTCCTGATCTCAATTTTTCAAATGTATGCTCTTCATGATCAGATCCTCATTCCCAGGCCTCCATCTCACTAATTTTCCAAATCACCTCCTCACATCCACTCTTCCATCTTCCTAGTCTCCCATCCCTCAGAGATCTCTTCTTCCTCACTCCTCCATTAACTGTCCTGCCCCCAACTCCCAGCACAACTCCTCACCCCGGAACCCTCCATCCTATCCAATTCTACAGAATGCAGCCGGGCTCCTCACCTGCTCCTGGGCTCCTGCACCACCCAGCTCAGCTCCTCCACATCCTCTTTCCCTTCTGTGTACTTTTTAGCTACTCACTCCTGTGTTTCTACACACCTGGGTGCCCACCCTTCGTCTATCAGCATGTCAACCACAAAACACACACACATACACACACCCCTCCCACCCATTGCCTTATAGATCCCAACTCTCCATCCCGCCGGGCTGCAGTGGAAGCGCTGGGCCTGGGCCAAGGGCATGGTAAGAGCGGTAACTGCTTCACTTTCCCACAACCCTTGGGCAGACAGATGCCTCGCACGCGTGCGCTACGGGTGCAGTGGTGGTAGCAGAGGGGAAGAGGGTGGGAAAAGGCGCCTCTTGCCTTTGTGAGGCAGGGCAAGGAGCATACTGCGGATGCCACGGGCCGTTCCAGCGCAGGAGCCAGGGTGGGGCCAGCTGGGAGCTGCTGATGGTTCTTGAACACAAAGCTGAAGCAAAGCCTTAAACAAACAGGGCTAAAGACCACCAGGCAGCGGCACGCTTGTGGAATGGAGCCCTGGGCCCCGTCTCCACCCCTCCTCTCCCCACACCCATCACCCCCATCGCTGGCTGAGCAAGGATGCAACTGCGGGCGGGTGTCGCAGAGTTTCCTCTGCGTCAAGGGAGGTGCGGCTCCCCCTGCTCAGCCCTGCCCTCCCTCCTTCCACCGGCGCCGCCCCCCCCCCCCTTTTTTTTTTTTTTTTTTTTTTGTTGTGTCCGCCTTTAAGCCGCCGCTGCATAGAGGGCTGGGCACATGTGCGCCTGCATCTCGCTCTCCATCACGCACACAAGCCCTACGACAAACACGCTCATTCATTCACTCCAAGCACACAGGGCGAAGCCAGCCTCCGCCGCAGGGCCTCGCCCCAAAGAAAGGTAGGTAAGGGGGCCGCACCGCCGGACAAGGGGGCATGTCTGGGGCGCGGGGAGCGGGATGGAGAGGGATCAGCAGGATTCCCCCACAGGATGCTCTCGGCTTTAGTGCTCCCAAGCCATCTTGTGTGGGTCCTGCTCTGGCAGAGCGGGATGGAAGGAAACGCATGATCGGGAGGCACCGTTTGCCGGTGGTGGGGTTCGTGGGCACCGGAGAGCTCACGCTGGGGGTGGAAAGAGAGACCCGCCCGCTTATCTGTATGTGCTGGGAGGGGAAGTGGTTTCTCTCCGCCCGGTGTTTCCCCTCTGGTAGAAGCCAGGGGCATTGTCACTGAACATCGCCTGTTCGGAGGGAAGCGTGTTTGGGGAAACAACAGTATGGCCAGATGGAAAGAGCCGCCTTGTGCTTTGATTCGGTGGGGTTGGGTTTCTTTCTTCCTGTCTTTCTCTTTGGCGGGCAGTTCCTCTCCTGGTGTGGATCAAAAGCATTTCGTTCAGGTCCCGCGGGTTGTGTAAAACGCCTTCATTGCTTGTGTGTCTGCAGCGCAGGGAAGGGAGCATTTAATCTGGAGATCTGCCTTTCTGGCTGGAGCTATTTCGGTGGCTTCAAGGCTTATTAAGAGGAAACTGCCTGATCTTAATCGTTTAAGCTATTTGGGGGATGAAAGAGGATGAATAGGGCCGGTTGCGCCTGTAGCGGTTCCCAAATCTGCATCTCTCTCTCTCTCTAACTGGAGGGCGGCGAACGGAGGAGAGGTTTAGGGAAATATCTTCAGAAGGCAGGATCTGCTCAGCTGAGGCTACTGGCATATTATTTTGGAGACGGGGGCGAGGGGCCTGGATCTAAGATCATTTTAGCGGTGGTGGGGAGGAAGAGGTCCGGATGCTGTCTCATTCTGTGTATTCAATAGTCATGGCCAGTGCTTGTTCCTCCTTCTCCCCCGCCTTCCGAATCCCAGTCTGGCTGGAGTAACTCTGGGGGAAGGGGGGCAAGGCTGGTCTACCGTGATGTCAGCCATGTTTGGGTGGGTATGTTAATGAGGATTTCTCCCCAGCCTTGTTCGGTCTTGGGTCGTCCTCCCACTCCCCCCTTCCCCCCCGCATTTTAAGGCTCATCCCCTCTCTCCAGCACCCATGTACAAAATATATATCTCAGAGAGAGGGGAGATTCACGCCTGTAATTTTCATGCTGTGTTTGGACTCCGCGCTATCGGATTCCTTTGATAATCCTCCTCATTGCCTACATGCTCCTGTAATATTTTCCTTTGGGGCTTGCTAGGATGAGAATGAACAGCCAGACAGGCAGAGAGGTTCAGCATTTCTCTGCCATACTTTGTTTCGGTTGAGGAAGCACATAGGATTTTTAAAAGGTATCATCGCCTCCCTGCCCTTAGAGATGCAAAGGAATGTAGATTTCTATTGCAGAGAATTGAATGTTATTTGTTAAATTTTGCAGTCAAAGTTTTATATTACCGTGTGGATCAGCCATTTTAGACCATCTCGTATTTAGTATTGCTACATATCAATCACAGTGAGTGTAGTAGCATTGGTTTATAGGAAACCCTAACTATTTTCAAAACACAGTCTTCCTCTTAGGAGGCAATTATTATTTTTAATAGAGGATAAAAATGCTGGTTTCTCCCAATTTCTTTTTCCCTCAAAAATGCATAAATTAGCACTAGTGATTTCATAAGAGTCAGGTGTTACATCAGCCGTTATGCATGTGCACACAGATATGTTCTCCAGACAACTTTCTCCCTTTGATAAAAATGACACAATTTCACCCAAATCCTTCTGTGTTGCAACTTACTTCCCAGACAACCATTTGTATTGATCTTTTCTGCATTAAAAAGAAAATTTAGTTAACTAAATGTTAGAAAACCCAAATCAGGATTTCTCCATTTTGGACTCCATTATTGAAGGATTGAATTTATGCATTGGCGCTATTAAGAAAATAGCTCCTTACACACACACAACTCCCTAGGAGCTCAATATTACACTCCAAATACAAGGGGAGGGGAGCCTTCCTGTTGATTTAGGTCTTAGAATCCAAAATTGGGTCCACTCATAGAAGTTCAGATGTGCCACCAACAGTGGAATTAAGAAGTTGCTGATGCAATTCCAAGTTACTTTTTCAGAATACAGCTGATTCATAGATTCCAAGATGCCAAAAGGGACAATTGGGACCATCCAGTCTGACCTACTGTATAACATAGATCATAGAACTCCCCCAAAATAATTCCTTTTAGAAAAATAACCAGTATTGATTTAAAAATTGTTGGTGATGAAGAATCCACCACAACCCTTGGTAAGTTGTTCAAATGGTTAATTACTCTGATTGTTAAAAAACGTATGCCTTATTTCCTGTCTGAATTTTTGTTCTCAGTATTTTAAATTATTTTAAAATGTTAGTATCCTTTAATATTAAAGGAAAATATTTTCCTTCATGTTCCTTCCTATCAGGCTTCTCTTTGTCATCCTCTTCTTTTGGTAATTATCTCATGACATAAGTATCAGTAGCAATTTTTCAGGCAAGCGATTTGGCAACTACATAGTTTCCTGAAGGTGCTGTCATGTTGTTAAATTATTTTTGGTTAGTTACGGAGACTATTTTGTCCACACTTACTACATTTTTCATTTTAATCCCCTCTAACGCAAAAGAATATCTGAACTTTTCACCAATTAAATATTAAGTTCTATAAAATCTACTATGAAGTTACTTACAGTTGAGTGAATTAAGATGGCTGACAAAACTGCTTTACTTAATGCAAGCTTTTAGCACTTTTGGTCCTTATATGCAGAGTTGGTAACAATCCTTATATTTACATGGCCTAGTAGCTTCTGTTATAAAAGATTCTCATGAGCTTTTTTTAGAAACGCTAACACATCCACTGTTTGCAGCAGGTCTTTGAAGTTTTGCACAGAGAAGCACCCAGGCTAGAGAAGTACATTTTTCGTTTGTCCTCTGAAATTTCATACAGATTTAACTCCTTTTCCCTTTTTCACTTGTATTCCTCAGGGAAAATTTAGCAAACTGCCATAATAATAACTGAATACCAACGTTCTAAAGACCTGGGCCCACACCACCAAACAGCAGCAGAACACACTGTACTTGGTATGCACATCTCAGGTGAGTACCCTAAACACTGGGCTAAAAGTTAGGAGGGAAGTCATCTTGTGTGGAACTGCACACCTACAGGATCGGGCCCCCCAGGTGAGTAAGACGGAGGAGACCGTTAGTGCATCACACTGGGGCTTAAGAATCTGGATGTCTAGAATAAGGCAGCAGTGCACATGCTCAAAGGCAGGGATATAGGTGTTTAGGGAAGTTGTGCTGGGAAAACATAGGTGATGAGTGAGGTTAGATTGCAGCTGAAAAAGGGGTTTGGGAATAGTAGTGGTACCTAAATCTGGGATTTAGGTGCCTAAAGTGGCAGTTAGGAAGCTAGATCCCTTTATGAATCTGGCCCTTTGTAATATTTAAAATATCTTTATGTAACCCTTCTGCCCGTCAGAGTTGGCAGCAACAAGGGCCGGGTTCAATATCTAGGGGATCCATTCCAATAACACAATGCAAACCGGCTCGAGCCCCCACGCAGTGACCTGGGACAAATATATATCACCCCCACTGGGCGCCTCCAAGAGGCAATACTTCCCCTCTCGCAAGCACATAGTCTGAGTGTAGCAAAAAGCCTTTTAATAACAGAGAGAAACAATGTGGCATTATGTTGGGGAAACACCACCAACAGGATTCATAACACAACCCAAGAGCAAAAAACCCACCCCAAGCAAATTGGGGCATGCCCCTTTCCCTTTGGTTCTTGAGTCCAGCAACCCCAAATCACCCAAAGTCCCAAAAGTCCAATGACCCAAAAGTCTCTGTCCCTGGTCAGGGCAGCCCCAGAGTTCGAAAGTTTATCTGTGGAGCTTTACCTCCCAACCTGGGTGGAGATGGGGCGGGGGTAAGAGGCACCTTACATGATCTGAAGCTGACCAACCCACAGCCCCATAGGCCTCCGCTCTGCTCTGCCAGCCGCCCCACAAACTCCTTCGCTCAGCTCCGCGGCCCACAAGCAGCTCCCGCCATCCCACAAACTGCTCCACCAGCCAGTCCACAAACTGCTCCGCGTCCCACCAGCAGCTCCCGCCGTCCTACGAACTGCTCCACCAGCCTGTCCACAAGACACTCCAGCCGTCCCGCAAACTGCTCCACAATATATCTTCAGGCTCCCCCACTACTTAACACAATGCTCAGTGATTTCAGCTCTTAGTCAGTTCAGCTCTTTGGTGAATTCAGCTTGTAGTAGGGGAGCCTCAGTGCTGGTGCACTATTAGCCCAAAGTGAGCTCAGCAGCCTGTAACTAGACTCCTAATGGAATCAAAATTAGCTCTGATATTCCACAGTGGAGAGAGGAGGAAGTGCAATTAGTATGTAAGGCCCTCACTAAGGGGCCCATGCCACCAAGTATTAATACTTGTCCCCAGCCTCTCTCCCTTCACAGAGTTTTAAAACCCATGACCCTTGCCTAGCGAGTGCTACTTAGTTGATGGTGAGTCCCTCCATCATAACAAAAGGCCAAGTACAGTTCCAAGCACAGTTCCCATAATCAGCATAACAACAATTTATTCTTCCTGCCCCAATAACAGAGACACTGGGGATCCCACAGCAGCCAAAGTGACCATTTGGGTAGCTATGGCCTCATTCTAGGCGGGGTGGGTGTGCCTATGCAAATGAGATCGGCCCCTGAAGTTCTTTTCCACAACTTGCCACACCTCACCACCAGATGTCAGGGTGGAGCTCATCCTGACACTGCTTACATTTATATCCTCTGCCACCTTAAGTAAGGCTTAAGGAGTAAGGGTTTTTGATAAACTCTTGATCATAATGTAATGGCAAATACATGATTAGGGCAGAAAAAGGAAAAACTCTGTGAATTTGCTTACCTTTGTGCCTTGTGTTGGCCTGGTGGATGTTTTCACTATTGCTTATCCATTGCCTCCTCCCAGTTATACTGGAGTTATGGGGACTTAAGCAGGGGTGCTGGAACAATTTGTATAGTGGGGGTGCTGAAAGTCACTGAACTGAACTGTAAACCCTGTATATGATGGAAACCACTTCAAGCCAGGGGGGTGCAGCAGCAACCCTAGTTCCAGCATCTATGAATTTCAGGTAGTAAACAATTGGCCCTGACTGACATACCCATAGAAAATAATCACAAAGCAAGTGAAGTCTTCACTGCATCTAAAGTGGAAATATCTGCAACTACCCCCATGTAAAACCGTAAAAGATTGTGTCCAGAAAAAATGGACATGGTGCAGGACTCATTCAGTAACTCTGCGTTGTGGGTCACTGATGGGGTCTATCAGGTCTTCTCTCCCTCCTGCTGTGGCATCAGAGCCCTAACATTCTCCACCAAAGGAAAATCCACTCAGACTGGGTAACCAACAAGACAGTTCTCCAGCGGCCTGAAAGGTCCAGAAGGAAATACCAATCAGGAACAAGCAGATCAGTTAAGAAGGCTAGCCTGCTTTTGCTCAAGGGCAGAGCTAGGTGAGATTGGGACAGAGGAGGAGCTCATCAGGGCAAACCGGGAAACCAGGCCAAGGCCTTGCCCTAAGCACTGCAACTAAGCATTTGCATTTTGAAGGAATTTTCCCCCTCCTTGTTTAGAGGCGCAGACAGCCAAATCATGAGTTGCTGTTTTTGTTTAGAGCTTGATGCCAAGCTTACAGCCCCAAGTAGGTGGCCAACTTTGCAGACTAAGGTGTGGATTAACTGCAGTACCACATGCAGCCCTGCCTGCCACACCTTGGACCCAGAAGTGGGACTGACGTTTTTAGTAAAGGGGAACCATGGAGCAGATCATACAACTCCTAGCTCAGCAGCAGCAGGTCCAGGCAGAGGCCCAGCAGCCCAGACTCGGCGAGCCACCCAATAGCAGCAAGCAAGCAATAATGGCAGTAACAGTTTTAGGAGGCAACACTGGAATGGATCACCAGCTGCTCCCACTCTGAAGTGACTCAGCCAGCCCCAGTATTGTCCTTTCCAAATTGGGACCTGCTGCTAACCCTGAGACATATCTTGCTATGTTTGAGTGCATAGGCACAGCCACACAATGGGAGAAGGACACATGAGCCACACGACTAGCCCCTTTTCTGGCTGGGGAAGCCCAGGTGGCCTACATGGCCTTAGATAATGAAGCTGCAAAGGATTCTGATACCCTGAAAGCTACTGTTCTCGACCAACAAGGGGCATCGCCTGAGACGATTCTAGACAGAACATTTCCCACTGGGGGGCACAACCCCAGGCTGTGGCTTAGTGGTTAAAGGATTGAGCTGCCCACCAGCTCCAGCTGGCATCCCGCCCTCCAGCCAAGATTCTGGAGGTGTTGGTGCTCAAACATTCTGCCAACTGTCATCCAAACCTGAGTATGCTGATACAATCTCAGCACGGTGACAGTTCAACTCACAGAGGACTTTATGGCAGCAGGTTGGTCCAGCCAGAGTGAATGGCCCTTGTCTGGTGAAGCCTGGCCCCAACCTCCTGAGGAGTCAACTTGAGGTACTAGAAAGGGCCCAGGGGGTTCCCAGAGAAGTCCCCAAATGAGGGGTACCCTCCAAATGAAACCCAGAAGGCACCCCTTAAATGGTGGCAGTCAATGAAAGACACTAAACCTTGCATTACTTGGTGGTATCTGGAGTTAGAACTCTATGCCTTTTGTGTACACCAGCCAGATTCACAACATCAGAATGCAGATTTCTTTTCCTGGGAGGGTGGCATTATTGCAGAGGAGGGAGATTGGGTCAATAGGCCCATTCTGCAGGGTGGAGGTGTGTGATGGGGTCTATTAGGCCTTCTCTGCCCCCTGCTGGAGGCATCAGTGCCCAAAACTCCTAGCCCAAGGAAAATCTTCTAAGAACAAGCGATCAACAAGCCAGTCCTCCAAGGGCCAGGAGAAAATATTGACTGCTCAGGAACCAGCAGGCCAGTTAAGAACTTTGCAGATTAAGGTGGGGAGAGGTCCTGAAGGGGGCACTACAGAGCATCTTTGCATGTCACAGTGACAAGTGCTGAGAAGTCTATAGAATCTGATGAGAAGATTAGAGGCACAAGAGATAAAATTAGGATCTGTTCAGGCCACAATTGAGCTGATTATTAGAGACAACCTACAAATGCAGAACAAAAATGACACTCAAGAATTCCAAAATAAAATAATCTTAGATATTCCCCAGATGTGCGATTGGAGATCCCCAAATATAAGCCCCAGCTGTGCCACTGATTTGCAAGGAGAAAGTTGTCATTGAGTTAATGAACCAACTGTCAACAAATATTTACTGAAGTCTGACGATTCTGTGAAGAATAGTTTCTACCCCTAGCTAATCCATATTGTTTGTCCAAAAATTCAGAAAGAATCCTCCAATGGACCTGAGTGTCGGGATGAGAGAACAGGAGGGAGAAATGAAGGATTTATTTGGCCTGTATTTGAGATTGTGAAAGAAGTCCCTGTTCTAAGAGAGATCCCAGGAAGAGCATTTATTAGGAACTGAGGGCTATATTCACTTTTAAAATAAGAAAGCATAACTTCATTGAAGTCAGAAGATATGCACCTACTTTCATGATTGGTAAATTTGGTCCTGAGTCTTTAAATTATTTTCCCAGGATCAAAACATTTAATTGGGGTCGGGGCATTTCAGGGGGAGACACTCATTGTTTCTCATGCCTCCAAACCAAAGGTCCATTTCTGAGCCTATAAGCAAGATTGTAATGTCACATTTTCTATGTTATATTCCTGCACATCTCAGGTAGAATCACAAGGGAACACACAGAACTGGGTCCCTCTTTATATGGATGAGTTCACATCTTTCCTAAGGGAAAGATCAAGTCAGATGCAGCTTGAGTCCTCGTCTGTTTCTACCACACTGGTTGATAATTTTTTGGAGTCGAGCCTTAGCGACAATATGGATGAAACTGAAAACACCATGTTTTCCTAACAGATTTAAAGTTCTTAATGTACACTTATATAACCGTTTTATAATGGGAAACTTGTATTAACTTTTTGGTATGTATAACTACATTAATTAACTAGGGCAAAATGCTATAACATGCAGCTCCTACTGAGGAGCAGTGTA